AGTGCAGAGTGAAAGCTCTACAATACTTTGGAACAGAAAGCTTGTAAAGGTAATTTGATGGTAGAACTACTCTGCCAGTTAGCATATTATTTGAAGTTGAAACTAGGTCACCTTGTCCACCTGCTGTATGCCTATAATAGGTTGTTTGAGGATTGCTGTAATGGTTTCATATCTCAGAAGGAAGAGGTGACCCGAGGAGAATTCATATCACGGATGTTTTGCAAAAAAAGGGCTTGCTTCCTAGGCTGACAGGTAGTTGTCCTGTAAGTGCCTGAGGTTAAGCCTTCAGGAAAACCACCTCCAAATGGAAAGTTGGGTTTGGAATGCAATTGGGGTTCTTGTTGAGAATAATTTTTGGACGTTTAGACTGGACAACTACCAAAGGAGTGAAAGTGGGTGGAGCCCAGGTTGTGCATCATCCACAGCTAAATAAGTGATCTGGCCCCAAAAAGCTATAAAGGAGTCAGTACATAATACCTTGTCTGGTATGAAAAGATTTGAATATGACAGAGGCTACCATATGTCACTCTGGCATGCAGCTTAACTTCAGATTTGCCTCCTCTCTCTTAATCCATCATAGATCTGGCCAGTTAGCCAAATCAACATGTAAATTTTGATTCTGCTCTCCAGCTGCCATCCTGGAGGACATTAGCCTCTTGGGATTTCTGAGTCTTGTTCCTGAAAAGACCATTTTGCACATAGGTTTTACATTTGTTGGACTCTGTTTGCAAAGAACTTGTCCCTTTAATGGAACTGTAGATGATGCTTGTTTGACAGTGAAAGTAAAACTAGTTTCCTTCTTCAGCCCAACAGCATTTATGACCACGAGGTACTTTTTTGATCTTCTGCTGTGTCTGTTGGCATTTTCTTGCATATGTCTTCTGAGTCCTTGGCTATCACTCTGCCCCTATACTATGCTGGGTTACACCTAGGAAACTCTGGCAACGGTTGGCATAAGTAGGAATCAACTTGATAACTCATAATTATCAAGATTATATGTGTCAGAAGAAAAGAGTAGTGGGGAAATGCCTGTGAGAAATGTAGAATAATAATGTAAGCAGGTCATAGTGTTCCATACACAGCTTGCATTGTGTACCATACATTGTGGTGTCCATTTGTTCTATGACTGACTTTTTACCCTATTATTCCATTTCTAATAATGCACACATATATTCACTTTTCAGGTACTGTAAACCCCACCAAATGTTGCTGTCCTTTTGCCCTAAAGATGGCAGCATGTCAGCTTCTTCTGGAGATTACCACATTTCTTCGAGAGACCTTTCCTTACATGCCCAGGCCTCGTACAGAGCCTCTTGTGGTGAGTGAATAAAAGGAATTTAACTGGGAGAGGGATTGGAATAAACTATAGTAATAAGTAGCATAAACCATAGAATTGGAGAGGGAGGACATTCAAAGGAGTAGCTGAAGGAGTGGGTTGATTAGCTCAAGACAGGAGAGGAGGAGATGGTTTGGGACTTTTGCATTTAGAAAACGTTTATGAATGTGATCCAGTGAGTTATAGTATTCATTGTGGTAGATGACTTAAATCTCTGGTTTAGGGCAAAGTAATCTATAAATGTTGCCTTCAAATATATCTTTAACACATATCAGATTTTAGTAGCTGGCTGGGTTATGTTATACTAAAAATTTGATCAATGAATTGAAAGGAACACTAAACAATTCTAGTTTAACTTTCCCCTGGAGGTCAGTCCTTACCCCCTCTAGCCTTGTATGCTCTTTCATTACATAGTTCCAGGCAACATGATACAGGAGATTTCACAAGGTGAGTGCAACACAGTGGATTTGCTAGAGAATCTTAGAATGGCAAGCTCTTTTAATCAGGAAGGAACCGCAATTAACTGCCCTCCATTTCCTTTTTACAAATGTTTTTGAAATCTTTTGTTTTATGCAGTGTTTGTTCAAGAAAGATGTAATCAGTTACTAGCACTGACATTGTTTCCTTCCTTCCCACCCTATCCCTCTCTTACAACATTTCAAGTTTATTTGGTTATTATTTATTTACTAAATGTATGCACCATCTTTGCATTGCAATGCAAACATAAAATCAAATAAATTAAAACACATAAATAGGTGAGAAATAATCCACAATCTCACAAGTTGTTTGTTCAGTAGACAAGACAGGCTTGGAATTGGGGAAGACAGCTCAACAAAAACATCAACTCATAATGCAGCAACTGTGAAAAAGGCAAATTCCATATTAGGAATTAGAAATAAGACTGCCTCAAGCTTGGAAGTAATGAGTTACAAATAACACATGTTAATTAATTAGGATTTCTTTTCATATTGAAGGGAAATGATTTTCAGATTTTTTTACTTCAACAAAGCTCATACTTGTTAATTTTTAGTAGCACAACAAATAATGAATTTTGTCACATTTTTTTCTTCATTTCTTCTGTCCTGCCAGATAGTGGGAATTGATGTGGTTCATATGCTTCAGCATAAAACCCACTGGCCACAGCTACTATTTTTCTTTGTTTCCACCTTGACATTTATCTTCCTTGACCCTTCCAAGGCAGGTTACAATACACTCTAGCCGCCTAGAGTGGTCCTCGATTGACCAGATAGGCGGGATACAAATAAAATAAATAAGTAAAATAAAATAAATATGAAGTGCATATCAACAGCTAAACAAACTAATTAAAAACTCCACCAAATCAAGTTTTATTTGGGGGTGTACAAAGTAAATTATATGGTCTCTCAGCCTAACATATTTATCAGGGAGGTTGGGATCAAAATGAAACCAATGCAATTCTAAAGTGGCTTTAATGGAGTTGTACGTTCTTGCCTGTGCTGTTGACATCCTTCAACACCCTTCTGTGCTTTGCATAATGTTACAGGACCTGGAGAGCTGCAGGTTGCGTTTGGACCCTGAGATGGACCGCCACAGGTATGAGAGGAAAATCAGCTTTGCTGGAGTGCTGGATGAGAATGAAGATTCCAAAGATTCCTTGCACAGCAGCAGTCATACCCTGAAATCTGACACAGGTTGTGAAGAGAAGAAAGGTTTGTTGCATACAGTAGATTCTAAGTCCCCCCTCCCCCCTGGCCCCAATCTGTTATTTGGATTTGGTCTTTATGTCCTAAAGTTCAGGAACTGCATTAAGAAGCAGGAAGCTATGAAGCCACACAGACAAACCATCTCTGGTCTTTATCCATAGCTGAAGGTACTAAATTGGAGAAAGATTTTTAGCACTACAGGCCTGAGCACTTTGAATGGAAGTAAAATGTCTTCATTTTGAAGAACTCACTTCCTGGGAATTGGGCCTAGGCTTAGTCCCTGAATCCAAAATATCAGGTGTTGACTTGTTCACACAGCCAGAAGTTGGCATATGACATATTTGAAAAATCCCGGTTAACTGAAGAAATGCTTATTTCTGCTTGCACCAAAGGAAGCAGTTCAGTGCACATTCACAGATACTGTTGGTTTTAAGAGCAGTTAGGATCACTTATGTGTGCATAGAATTACAACCAAATTTATTAAATAAGCATTTCATCAATATTTTAATGTGCTGTTATCTCACCTGTGGAACAGAAGAGAGGTCTTGATTTATGTTTTCAATGATAAAGAACAGAAATAATATGAACTCAGTAGAGGTGATCAGCTTTCTCCATGAAATTCCCTATAAAGTCTGCTACCACATGCTTAAAGCTCATTTGTTATGTGGCTCTCAGTGGCTAACCCCCCCAAATTTGATGTGTAGTGTCAAGGCATAAGTTGGTGTGGTTGTTAAAGGCGGCAGAGTGTCTATCATTGTAATGCCATCTCATGCAAAAATAAAACCCCACCAAACACCCAGTAACAACCACCCAAATTCTCATTCCGTCTTGTAGTTCAAGTGTTGCAATACAAAGCCAAAATTTACTTAGAATTTACTATCATAGATCGCAAATAATTGCCCTAAACATGAGGTATCGTATAACATATTGACTCACAAACTGTTTTCTTTTTTGTTTCACAGAGTAGAAATATGTAACAACAATTTTAAAGAAAAAGTAGGTTATGATTTATGATCTCTCAATGAAACAAGTTAAAAACACCGAAACACAGACTATATTATTTTGCTGATTCCTGATCTGCTGCCACACTTAAAAATTACCTCTCCTAGTTAGATGCTATTTGCAGCTTTGTTGAATCTTGTCCCTCCCATACACTTTGAAGCTAAATATATAGAATGGACAACCAGCTATACCTCATTCCTGCACAATTTTCAAATCTAACAAAATATCATTCTAAAAAGGAACTGAATCCTAAACCTACATATTTACTTTAGCATGTGTCTCCAGCACTAGTGGTTCATGACGCTCCGTGCAGCCCACAAGCTACATATTGTGGCTTAAAAAACTTCCTGCTTTGGCCTCTTAAATGATGCTAAACCCTGTGGGCATCAATGCAAAACTCATGGGGTATGTTTATTATAATTGGCTCACAACTTGTACTGGCTTGCTCTAGCACCTTTACATGTTTATGAGACAGTAGGTATTACTAAACTTAGTGAAATATGCTTCTTAATAAATTCAGTTCACTATCAGACATGGTTCAAACATTTTAAATTCTCCATGTTGAGCACTCCATGGGTGCATCTATGCAGAGAAATATCTGTGTTGAGAAGATTCTTCTTCTTGGTAGTGGACTGTTTCTGCCAGCTGCACTTTTGCAACTCACTGCCAGGGAATAGTTCCTGAGAAACATGGGCACAACCTAAACCAGACATTTCTTGTTCCTCACAGCTGTCTCCATGGGGATGTGCCTGTGGTTCCACTTTCTGTGAATGGGGCCTCAGTAAGATAAAATATGCAAAGATAGTCTATTTTACTGAAGCCAATAAATAGATCCCCATTTTATTCGCGAAGGCTTTCACGGCCGGGATCCAATGGTGGTTGTGGGTTTTTCAGGCTCTTTGGCTGTGTTCTGAAGGTCGTTCTTCCTAATGTTTCACCAGTCTCTGTGGCCGGTATCTTCAGCGGACAGCCCTCTGTGCTCTGGGGACAGAGTATTGTCCTCTGAAGATGCCGGCCACAGAGACTGGCAAAACGTCAGGAAATACAACCTTCAGAACACGGCCAAAGAGCCCGAAAAACCCACAACAACCATTGGATCCCCTTTTACTTCAATGAAAAATGGATTTATCTCATCTGTCTTTCGTTTGTCTTCTGCTGCAGCTCGGTCTGCTACTTTGTAAATTTGCTAGAAGTTGCTGTGGAATCTTACCTGTTGTGTAAGATTGGCTGGTGGTTTATGTAAGAAATTGGTTTCTGATCTTGGTGAAGTCAGCTGTTCTCAATGAGATTGCATACTATATGTTTCATCTTTGTGTTCTGTTTTGATAGATACTGGTGATATCCTACCATGGTTAGCGATCCCTAATTAAAGCAAGAAAAAGAGCCCCAGGTGCTTCTGGATATATTATTTGCATATATTAAATAATCTCCAGAGCCTACATAATGCAATGTGTTCAAAGACATAATTAGATCTCTTAGATACAGCTGTCTTAGCCTTCAGCTATGTTTTGGCACTGTTGTGCTTATTATATTACTTTACAACTCAGCTCCCCTTGGCCCACTGCCAAAAATGTGGTGACGGTGGATTTAAAATCAGAAGTGACCAGGAGTTCCTTTCTAGTTTTGGGGGGATTTTTTTTTAAAAAAGGGACATCTGCAGATAGGAGAAGGATAACTGCCTGGAGGCTTCTAAGGTTGTGGTTCTCCCATGTGATTCTGCACAAAAATAAATAAATACAGACATACACTTTTTAAAAAAAAATATGGAGGCAGGATAGCAGTGGGCCTTGGTCTCCAGGGCCACAAAAGTGGGAAGGAGGCCATATGTGGCCCATGGGTTGCATGTAGCTACACCAGTTTACCTGTTTGAGATGAGAAATGAAATGTAACTCCTGTGAAAGAACACTAACTACTTCTAGCTCTCTGACAAACACTTGGAACAACTGATCTGACCAGGAACTATCTGAGTGTGTTTTTTGGCCACATCTGTTCTCATGTGTGGCTTGGAAACTTTTATAGATGCTCTGGAACAATGACTAGAGTGATTCAATAGGCCAGCTGCTAAATACTGTATTGGAAAATAACTCAATTTCAGATATATCTCATGTGGGTAAAGCATTTCCATTTTTTTCAATATAGTAAAATGTAAGTTTATATCACAAATACAGCACCAATACACAAACTCGCACACACGTGACTTGTGCTGAATCACAATCTTGATCCATTTAATCAAGTGGTCTGACTTACAGGACTCAGGCAGAAGTCTTTCAAAGCCATACTTTCTTTTCTTTTCTTGCCTTGAAGCTGGGACATCTTGCTCCTGTGATTTACAGTGTGCTTCCACTGAGGTGGGAGCAATATGTAAGCTAGAGGCAGCTAATCAGCAGCTCTTGCAAAGATAGCACTACTTCTTTGAATATACCATTTTTCAGACTAGCCCAGTCAGTTTTCTGTTCCTAATACACTGGTGCCTCGACTTATGAACTTAATCCATTCCGGAAGATGGTCGTAACTCAAAATGGTTGTAAATTGAAGCACCATTTCCCATTGAAATGCATTGAAATGCAATTAATCCATTCTGGCAGAAGAAAAAATCCCCCTCCCAAAAAAAACTATTGCAAGACCAATCTGAAATGTTCTGGCCAAGGGAGGTGGGAGAGAAAAGTAAGCCAAGAGTGCAAGACACATCAGAAATGGGGGGAAAGCAAAGCAGAAGGCAAGCAAGGTATGCAAAACACATCAGAAATGGGGGAAAAGCAAAGCAAAAAGCAAGAGAAGCATGCAAGATGCATCAGAAATGTGGAAGGGGAACCAAAAAGCAAACAAATCCCCCAAGACACATCAGAAATGGGGGAAAATAAAAAAAAAAAAAAAACAAATCCCCCAAGACCCATCAGAAATGGGAGGGAACCAAAAAGCAAACGAACCCCCCAAGACCCATCACAGCTTAGAAATATAATCCCACCACCCAACCCAAAAACACATTGCAACACAAACAAACCCCCCAAGACCCATTACAGCTTAGAAACATAATCCCACCACCCCACCCAAAACCACATTGCAACACCCACCCAGAACAGTTTTAAAAAGCAGAAAGCAGCACCTTACCATACCAGGTAGTCCAAAACCTCCTCAGATCGCACACTCTCTAACTGCTGGTGCAAAAGAGCTACGAAGAAGCAGACTCTTCACCTACCAAGGGTTAGCAATTTGAATTCCCCGCCTTTTTCCCCTGCCTTTTTTTGATTGTAACTTGAAGCTCCGGCCGCAAGTCGAAACAAAATTTTATGACCAGAGCTGGTTGTAACTCGAAATGGTCGTAAGTCGGGACATTTGTAAGTCGAGGCACCACTGTATATAACATGTACACACCTTTCAGTTATTAATTACTGATCTGCTTTTTCTCCACTGAAAATATCCAACAGAGTGTGCAGCATAAAACTGCAAATAGAAATTAAAAATTAAACAGGGCAACAACAAAATAGACGAGTTCAGTAAAAACCACGAAGAAGACATTGAAAAGCAACACAGCCTCATTAATAACAGCATTAATGGGTTTTGCTGAGCAGCCATTAAAATGGGGCCCCTTGCAAAGAAGTTCTGTTTATGCCACATATAGCACTAGGGATGTTCTATAGAAAGGTAGATTGTGTTAGATCATTCTTAAGATGCACTGAGATGTTTTGAAGTGTCATGTGATGAAGACAATGATCAACCTTTGCTACTTAAAAATGGGACATAGTCTACACCAGTGGTCCCCAACCTTGGGCCTCCAGATGTTCTTGGACTTCAACTCCCAGAAATCCTAGCCAGCAGAAGTGGTGGTGAAGGCTTCTGGGAGTTGTAGTCTAAAAACATCCGGAGGCCCAAGGTTGGGGACCACTGGTCTACACATTCTGTCCAGAACCCTTTTTCCCCTCAGGTAGTAATAGTGTTTCAGGTACTGACAAAGGCATCTCCTACTGTTGTTCAGCTAGAAATAGTTATAAGAGTAGCCTTCAAAACAATTTGAAAACCATTAACCTCTGCTTTCTCCTTTCATGTTTCCTCAGTTCTTTGTGATAATTACTTCCCATTGGCTGGACAACCAAAATTGTAAAATTATAACTTTTAAGTGATGTGGCCTTCATGCTACAAAAAATAAGCATGTAAACAAATAAAGCAAAAAACTAACTAGTAACTTCAAGGCTAACTAGTAGTATGGTTGACTCTGCTAAGTTTGATAAGCATACAAGTTCAAATCCTACCTCAGTCAGAAGGCATATCTACAATATGAACCGATTTAAATTAGTTTAATTGTCATACTTTCTATGGAGAAAAAATCAGAAGAGGTCAAGAGGAAAATGCTCCGTACCTATACTACTGCTAACCAGGAATTCTTTTGTGAAAACCTGGGCCTGAATTCTATATAATTTTGGAAATGTGACCCTTGAGCCAATGGATGAATTGTCAATTTCAATTTCAGCCAGAGGAAATGAGGATCAAAACAACATATTTCATAGTGATGTTGGTGTAAATTAAATATTAATTCAAAAGTCATTTGAACATCTTATAAAGTAAAGTGTGCTGCTTACATACCATCCCATAGCATATGAAGCACTCTCTGGGCGGATTACAATTTAATTATGTAGGCTAGACATAATTAAACCCCCAGCAAGCTGGGTACTCAATCTGTTTGCCCTCACCCCCAGCAAGCTGGGTACTCAGTCTGCCGACCTCAGAAGGATGGAAGACTGAGCGATCCTTGAGCTTGCTACCTGAGCCTGTCTGTGTTCAATTCAGGCCATGAGCAGAGTCCTGATTGCAGTACTGCAGTTTAATGACTGTGCCGCAATGGCCTTTCTCTAGTCAATGTGCATGGGCCCACCTTTATGTTTTGCCAACCAATTCTTTGAGCCTTGCTTCTGGCACAGACAAGGTTTATCACACAAAGACTTGTTTCCAAGCCACTCTGCAGAATTGATCAACTGTGGAAATTTTAGAAGAGGTGGGATAGCCGTGTTAGTCTGTTTCAGAAAAAAGTATTTGGATGTCTTGCAATACTTTTAACAAGTTTTATTTGGCATAAAGGTCTGTAGGCTTTACTCCACCTCTTCAGATGCAATACCCACCAATTGTGATAGTTCCAAATGCAAATCCGATTAGATGTGAATCATAATAAAAGCAATTTTTCTGGAAGCACGTGGCTTCTCTAAATAGCATTGTACATTCAGTATATGGGAGAGTACAAATCTGTAAACACCCAAAGGATCTTCTCAAAGCTCTTTTCAAGACCCACGCCTCTTTAAAATAAGGCATCCCTTCTCAATGCGGCACTTTCCTCTGTCGCTTGAATGTGACATCTGTCGTTTATAAACCTTGCCCCCTGTTCAGGGGGGTGGCATGTTCACTTTTGGATAGTAGTACAGCTGAGTGTTGCAACATTTGGACTTGCATAATGCCATGTCCTGCCTTCGAGCTGAGTGGGGAACAACATGCCAAGTGATTGGTGCTTCAAACCATTTCCATATTTTCGTGCTCATGAAAGCAATACACCCAGCATCCAGTGATGTCTTTAATGCGTGAAAGCTGCTGATCTGTCTGAAGGAGCAGGACCACATGTTGTTGCTTTCTGTGTAGAGTTCTGACGAAGTTTAATACACAAAGACGACGGTATATGCAAAGGTAATATCTAAACTGGATATGCAAAGTAGGTGCTTGGCTTAAGCAAGCAGGTTACCTACTTACAGTCACGAATGCTGCATGGTTGAACACTGTGATCCTATAACAAGATCTGAACAATGTTGGGCAAGCCGGGTGATAGGTTTCCCCTGAGGCACTGCCATGAATTTTCAGTTCAGTCACTTGTAGCCAGCAATTGGTGCGGTCCGTGGCAAAAGCTTTACAAAGGAAAGGCAGAAGCATAACAATTGCCCTGTGTTAGCTCGCTCCTGAATGAATCTGGAGCAGTTGGCCTGGGATAAATGGTAGGCTTCTGTTGTACAGCCATGGAGTTTCCAACAGTGCCTCTTGCACCATTGTTGCATGATTACTAGTGGCTGAACCAAAGGGTACCTAAGAAGATCTGAGTCATACTCAAGAAGCATGCTTGAATTTTCTCTACAGCATCCATTATTGGATGGTTAATAGAACTGCATTGGCGATGGCTTTGGAGGGAGCCTCTTGCTGGTCTTCCTTGAGAAAAAGGAAAGGCACAGCAACGTGGGAGGGGGAGGGCGGGCTGGCTGGCTAGGAGTATACGATACATAAAAAGTAAATTATTATAATATTTCTTAAATGGGGGGAATTAAGGGGGAAAAAGTCCTCTTTTATTCTTTCAATACAGTTCCCAGCAGGAAGATCAGGATAGGAGGCTCCCGCTTGCTCCAGATTAAAGGAACCCGCAGTTTCCGGGTGAAGAAAGGGGGTTCCCTGTCCAGCATTCGCCGGGCCGGCAGCCTAAAGAGCACCAAGTTATCCCGTCAGGATTCAGAGTCTGAGAATGAGGAGCTGCAGCTGTCCCACAGCAGGGACACTGTCACTGACATAGGTAACATAGATGAGCTGGGCTAAAAAGGGAGCGGGATGATGAGGCAGCATCTTGAGCCTGCAGGCAACTGAAGCAGATTTAGTGCAAGAGGAGAAGGGCTGGTAGGCTAGGCAGGCCTCCAGCATCCTAAGCTGAGAGGAAGAGTTCACCCTTTTTTTGCATGATGTAAAACACAGCAAGGGCAGAGTTTGAATCCTGCTGTTGCAATGCTAGGTAGTCAGTTCTCTGTCCCACTCAAAGGATGCCAAGTTTGAAAAATCTGAAGGTTTGGTGCATGAACTCAATATACTGTACAGGCATTTTCCTGACTGCCAACCAAATGCATGCCACGCTTAGGAAGGTATATATACAAATATCATATATCTATCACATATATTATATATATGGGGTAATAGATATATAGATATATATACATATCTCATATCAATATGACATATTGTGCATATAACTGTATGGAGAATATGTGTATATTTTATTTTGTATGAGATATAAGTATATGTGTGCTCGTGGTTCTCCAAAAGATTAGTTCTTATTGTTTTATAGAAAAGGTCAGGAATAGATAAATCCTCACCTTCAACCTCTTTCACCCTGTGGTCTCAGTGGCATTGCCCATGCTCTTTCTCTTCTGTGGCAAAATTTGAACTTAGCCAGGTACATATAGCCCAGCTGCATAAAATAAGATACATTGAAAGAAGGGGTGAGAAAGAATTAACTGGACATCAGCAGTGCCCTATTCAGTGGTTTTTAATAAATAGCACAGTCCTGTGCAGGTCTACTCAGAAGAAATCGCACTGAGTTCAGAAGAGCTTATAGCAATAGCGTTGAGGATGGCAGTCTTAATGTTACCGTCTCCAACAGGCAAAATTTGTGCTAGGGTCCTACCCAACTGTGAGCCCTACTGGCAACAAATGCATGCAGGAAACCCTGGGGTCAGAGAGAGCACTCCCCTGCCTTTGTTCTCTAGTGTTTGCTCGGATTTTTCCCCCTTTCATCCCCAGGCATTTTGGAATCCTCTTATGGGATCTTTCAGGGCTGTAGCCCATTCACGGTGGCAGTAGCTATAGACAAAGCGCTGCCACTGTAAGACTATGGATATCATATTTTAAAAAAACAACAATAGCAACACAGAGCCCAGTCAATGCAGATCACTGAAACCAACAATTCACAGCATCTTAATGATGCAAGAATGTTCCTGCTATTTACTTACCCTTCCCTCTTCCAGAAAGGGAGCAATGCCATCCCTGGTAGTTTTCTTGATTATGAATTATGCTTGTAATTACCAGTCCAGCTGATCATCAGATGTAGAAGAAGGGCAAGTTGGGATGGGAGCAAGCAAAATGATAGTATAGTCCAGACTTAATGGGTTCCTGTAACGGCACACCATTTCACCAGATAAAGGGATGATATTAAACGTTTTCAATAAACTGGTCTGGTTTACAAGCATATGCCCTAGATTTAGATATGCCAAGAGCATCAGAAGACAACTGTTTCTGGGTGTATTTTTTCTCTCTCTTGAAGAAGGGAGCCCTTGGAGTGCAAGTGAACCCAGTATAGAACCTGAAGTCCTAAGCAGCACCGGCACTGAAGAAAACTATCATCGTAACATGTCTTGGCTACATGTAAGTAGAGAATAATTTACTGTTTTTAGTTTTTAAGGGTCTAAGCTGCCTCGGATCCTCTTTTAGGGGGAGAATAATTTACTGTTTTTAGTTTTTAAGGGCCTAAGCTGCCTCGGATCCTTTTTTAGAGGGAAGGCAGGGTAAAAATATTTTAAATAATTAAATGTCCTATGGCAGGGTAAAACTATTTTAAATAATTAAATGTCCTAGAATTTCCCCTGGTTGTAATATACAATTCACAGCAGGCTGTCAGATGGTGAGATATTGGCTACTCAAGCATTTAGCAAGCCCCTTTCCAGAACTTCTGTGAAGACAGAATTCAGGGATAAGTTTCAGAAACTAAACCTATAAAATTAGACAGGATAAAAATGAGCTTTTTGTACCAAGTGACCAGACTGCAAGTCTCTGCTGCAAAAAATCCAGGTCTAATAAATGATTTGCCTATTGAATGGAGAGAGTTTATTGACGAATAAATAAATCTCTCTGTGTGAGACTAATCTCTCCCAATTCTTTTTGTGCTAGAAGACCCTTTGTATAGAATGTCTCATTGGGTGTGCTGAACCCGCATAGCTTCATTGCCTTGAAAGAGAAGCTGGCATTTTATACTAACGTATGCAACAGCCTTGCATCTTCATATAGAATCATAGAAAATATATTGGAAGGGGCCTACAAGGCCATCAGGTCCAACCCCTTGCTCAATGCAGGAATACAATCAAAGCATATCTGCCAGGTGATGATCTAAGCTTTTCTTGAATGCCTCCAGTGTTGGAGCACTCAGCAAGGTAACTGGTCCCACTGTCGTACTGCTCTAACAGTTAGGAAGTTTTTCTTGATATTCAACATGTTCCAGAATGTTTAGTCCTCACTGTCGCACGGGGGCTAATGGGTGGGAGATGCTTGCTCCCTCTTTCTTTCCTACTGTGAATTCACTGTGAAAATTTGTATTAGAATAACTTAGGGGAATGACCTGAAGTGATGAAGTGGGGAGATGATTTAGTTTAGGATTTCATCCTGGTATACATCTAATGTCATTATCCACCCTTTTTTCTAATTTTAAAGAACTTGATTCATATAAATCTCTTCTGTGTGGCAGATATCTGTAAGACATCCATCTATTTGCTTCCAACTTCTCTTTGCTTCTTCCAGTGACCTTATCTAAATTTACTTTTCTTTTCATGGACATATGATGTTGGAGGGTAACAGTCAGATGAATAAAAATAGATTGCTGTTTTCTTTGTGGTCTTTTCTTAACACAATTGTAGATCTGTTACACTTCTGAAAATTCTGGGTCTGCTTTATATTTCCAGGTGATGATCCTGCTGTGCAATCAGCAGAGTTTTATTTGCACGCATATTGATTATTGCCATCCCCACTGTTACCTTCACCATAGCCGTTCCTGTGCACGACTTGTCCGAGCCATTAAGTTGCTTTATGGAGATACTGTGGAGTCTCTGAGAGAAAATAATTCATTGAATAATGTGGCTAGGGGCAAAAAACAAAAAGAGGTAAGAAGGCAATGAATCCCCCTTCTTTTCTATATAGAAATTTATTTCAGGTTTATTTAAACTAGATTGGTTACCCTGGGGTCAAACTAGACAAGATGTGCAATTTGGACATAGAATTAGTGCCCTCTTCTGTGATAAAAAAAAGCCTGTCTCTCATAGGACTGGCTTTCATTTATTTTTGTATTGTTCCATTCCAGCCTACTTTTTTCTGTGATTCGTCATAAGGTTAGTTTGCTAGTCTAATTGTCCAGGATAATCTGTCTGAGTAAGATACTTTGGGGAGAGGGAAGCACCTAAGCTCAGAAAATACTCATTTCCATGAATATATAGTTTGACCCTCACGAGTCTAACACATATTAAACCTGAAAGCTGGGGAGAAACCTATTTATAGAAGGTTTACTTTTCAACTATATATGTTGTCCAGTGAAACCTATGACATTGGCTATGAGTAGACATGGGGATGATTTTTTAAAAAGGGATCACGATATTTTTGAAAAATTGCTGATTCCTTAAATATTCGTCTCTTCATATTCATCAGTTCCTAAGAACCCAATGAATACAAATATAGAAGGAATACAAATATGATGAATATTTCCCAATTTTTATTGTCCCCCATATGAAGAGAGGGAAGGCTAGCCTATGGCTTTCCCATTCTGCCTATGGGCCCACTGATCCACTGCCATGGCCATCCATCACCACCAGCTGCGGTGGCTTCCACAGCCACGGCCTGCCATAAAAGACATTGGCTGCCCTTTGCAAAGATGGCAGCTGCAGCTTCTTTTAGGGCAGGGAAGATGCAGCTACCATCTTTGCAATGGACAATCTAGATTCCCTTAAGGCAGGCCATAGCAGTGGAGGCCATTGCAGCAAGTGGTGCTGGATGGTGACTGTGGAGGCTGCCACAGCTCAGGCCTCCATGGATGGCAGTGGCGGCAGCAGCAGTGGCAGCAATGGCGGTGACAGGGTTAGTTGTGCCTTGTACTTTGTCAACTTTAACAGATCACGAAGCACGACTCGCCAAAATGGCTATTCGTCCCCATCTCTAGTTATGAGAATAAGAGTGGGGAAATGTTAGTGTTTTGGCTTTTTCCTATTTTCAGATGTTCTTCTGAAAACCCAGAATGGAAAGCTGCATCATTTCTGTGTTTTTTAAAGTGTTACATACATGGTGGGATCCTTTTTTTCACTGGTAAACTGGGTTCTAAAAAGCATTTCTCAGATCCAACTTTCTTCCAGTGTTCAGACAAGTCATGCCTGAGGACACCCTCCCTAAAGAAAAGAGTGATTGATTCTAACCTTGAAGGAAAAAAGGACTCTGGAATGTTAAAGTATATCAGGCATCAGGTAAGTAGGGGTATGTTACTATGTGAGAAATAATATGTTAATAGATTATCATTATTTTCAGTACTTCAAATGCAGTGTGTATCTCCTGATATCAACCTTTGAATTAAGCTCCTGGCTTCTACAGACCAAGGTCCTTTCCTTATATATGAAATACTGGTTATGCAAACTTTGCATTCTCTGGCTAAAATCCTGTTACTTGGAGCAGTAAGTTGCAACTAAATTAGACCTGTTGAATCAGTGGCAATTTGGTGAGTCATCTCTGTAAGTCCACTGATGGGCCAACTCTAGTTGTGACTTAGTACAGTGGCTGAAATCCTGTTGCTTAGCATAGTAAGTCACATTAGAGTAGGCCTATTGAATCAGTGAAGGCTTGGTGAGTCAACTCCTCCATAAATTGCATTGATTCAAATGTGCTACTCTAGTTGTGATTTATTTTAAGTAAATCAGGACTACAGTAAGCTATTTAAATCAGTGGAATTTATAAAGAATTGACTCACCAAATCCCCACTGATTCTGTGGGCTTACTCTAGCAGGACCTGCTACACTAAGTAACAGAATTTCAGCCTTTGTGTGGCAAGTGCTGCAAACATACCTCAGATGTCCATAACCACATGAAGTAACTACATACTGAGTTACTAGTAACCTTGTTCTATATATTTGGAAGGAAGTATCTGGTGTTGCCGTGAGGCTCTACAGAGGTCTTCTGCAGTCCTGCTTCTACCTATTGACCTATATATGGAAAAGTTACTTTTTCTAGTCCAAAAGTAACTTTTTCAAGTTGTCATCCTTTACATTTGGACATTCCAGAGGTTGAACCTGGGAGTTCCTTCATGCAAAGCATGTGCCCTAAATCTGAGCAAATCTTTTTTTCAAGGTGCAGGTGCTGCTCATCCCCTGTAAGATATAGATAACTTAGTCTATTTCTGCTCTATGTTAGGTCTACATTATTCAATTATATGGCCACCATTTTGTACATTTTTTTCAGTAAATTTCCAAAAAAGAAACTACATTTTATTTTTATGTGTCGCTTTCTGTGTGATATTTTATATACACTTTTCAATAACACCTATGCAAAATTAGGAGAAATGGGTAATTTGAAGGTTAATTGTGTACCAATCCATATATTAGTTCTGGAAGTGCAGATTAGGATGATTCATACTAATTTGGTGGTGGTGCTCCCTGCTAACAGTTGTCCATAAGACAGCAATTTTTAGTAATTTCAAATTATGCATCCCTGATTTTGCCTACTACCAGCATTTGCATTGTGAGGGCAAGAGTGCATATGTGAACATTAAATTATTATAGGATTCGACATCTAATTGTACAACTTGCAAATGAATCAACCTTTAATGAGTCCAGGATGAGCTGGAGAAGAGCTACACTCTTCTCTCCATTATTTTCAGTGCATAGAATGCAGTTTCCTCTTCAGTCAGTTCTTCAGTTTTTACCATAATTATAATGTACTATGTTGCTTTCATATTGTACACAAAGTCATTTTGTCCATATGAAGCTACCGTCAGAAGTGGGAGCAGGTGTTTTATTGCATATTTACACAGTCATTTAAGGTTATGTTTGTGAAGTGATGAGTTTACTACTTGATGAGCTTACTTCCATTTGATAGCCTTGTTTCCATTGACCAATCTGCCAATAATTTGTGTTCATTTTGCTTAATTGATATGAATCAATGATGAAGATATAAATCTAACTAGTACATTTGTTAATTAAGGCTAGTTGCAGTATATGTGGATATTTAATCAGTCACATATCAGATTTTGCAAAAGGGTTTTCTGTGTTAATGATAGTGTCATGACTGAAGAGTATATTGGATTTTGCACGACTGTCCACACCTGTTGTCTGTGGTGCAGAGCTTTCTGTTGGTGTCCTCCTAAAGCTATTAAGCAAAATCATCTAAAAGGCATGGTGAAATATTCCACTGTTCTGTTCTTAATAGACTTTCATAATGAGAAAAAGATAAAAGAAACAGTGATTTCATCTAGATTGCCAATAAATCGTTGTGAATGAGAGTGACTGCATGATAATAGCCACAGCTGGAAACATCTTTGGTGGTTCTTCCTATTCTTATGTTCTCAGTTTCATTTATGAGAAGGAAACTGTCTGGGGAGCTTTAAAATAAAAGTTTACCAATGAATACCGAAGTTCTGAAATTTTGATAGATTCTGAAATTTACCACATTTCTTTATGCTAGCAAATGTAGGCAATTCTGTTTCAAAGAAAAGCCCTCAGTCCAGCACCTGTTTTACTTTCCGGTGTTATTTATGTTAACTGGCAAAGTAATAGATAAAGCAGGGCCATCCTGAGTATCTTACATGAAGTATCTCTGCAATCTTATGTCACTCAGCAGGCCTTCTGCCTGAATAAATACTTCTAAGGCTTGCTTGAAAACATTTTCTTTTTAGTAATTGGATGATTTCATTTTGTGCAGGTGATGAGCTTGTCCCCAGCACCTTTATCGCTCTTAATCAAGGCAGCTCCTATTCTCACAGAGGAGATGTATGGGGACATTCAACCTGCAGCGTGGGAATTGCTGCTTAGTATGGATGAGCACATGGCTGGCGCAGCAGGTAAAGTGTGTAGGGTGTTGTACTCAACTTGAATTTAGTATGGATGAGCACATGGCTGGCGCAGCAGGTAAAGTGTGTAGGGTGTTGTACTCAACTTGACGGTGTACACAAGCATGTATAGAGGCTTGGAGGTAGTCGGGAACACTGCTGGAGCTCTGCCCAGCTTGGGATCCTGACATTTCTTTCGTCTGTTCAAACAGAAATTCCAAGAACATCTGGAGGCCCAAGGTTGAGGACCACTGGTGTAAACAAGCATATATAGAGGCCTGGAGGTAGTCGGGAACACTGCTGCCCAGCTTGGGATCCTGAGATTTCTTTTGTCTGTTCAAACAGATATGTATGCCCACATTCTGCCCATGCCATCAGTGCTCACGTGAATTCCCATCTTCCCTTCCTGTTGCTGACCCTGTGGTTTCCTTCCTCTTCTGGTACTAAGAAATGAGGACAACATGGTTGATCGGAGGACTGGAAACCAAGCCCTAGGAGAAGAGACTGAAAGAGATGGGCATGTTGGTGATGATATTTGTAACCAAGCCCTAGGAGGAGAGACTGAAAGAGATGGCATGTTGGTGATGATATTTGTTTAATATGTAAACCGCCCAGAGTGGCTTTGGCAGCCAGATGGGCGGTATAAAAGTCAAAAAGTGCATAAGAACTGGCATGGTGCACAGCAGCTCGCTAGCTACTAGATCTGCTCATAAAATACACCTTTCCAAATCATCCTCTCAAAGGACCAGCTAAAGGCATACTTTGATCATGCATTCTCTAGCACTTCTTTTAAATAGGAGAATAATTGATTTTCCAAGTTGTGCCTGTATTTGTTCACGAAGTATTTGCTTCTTGCAGCTGCCATGTTTCTTCTGTGTGCTGTGAAAGTGCCTGAGGCAGTATCCGATATGCTGATGTCAGAATTCCATCACCCTGAGGCAGTGCAAAGGTTGAATGCTATTCTCAAATTCCACACCCTCTGGAGATTTAGGTATCAAGTCTGGCCTCGTATGGAAGAAGGAGCTCAGCAGATCTTTAAGGTAAATATGACTAGTCTGATATAATTCAGAGTTGCAATTGTAGCAAAATTACCAGTGTCCTATATCTGTGCACTGTGAAGAAAATCACCAAATTCAGTGACATTTTCTCCCAAATTAAATGAGTATAGCCTTGCAACTTAAAAACTTTCAAAATCTAGGTCTTTTTAGTTTCCCATACAACCCACCATTAAAACAGAAAGTGAGTATGAAACTTGTACTCAGCTTTTAAACAAAACTTATTAGTAATGCTTCCTGGTATCTTTAAGCAACCTGAATGCTCCTGCAGTATTCATTTGAAACTAGCATAAAATCCTGTGGGGAATCAAATTGTTTTGCTTGCTATATTTCCCATGAGGCCCTTGGAAAAAAAGATTGACTAAAGTGCAGACTAAACTAGCTTTCTGGCAAAGCTGCTGTGAATAGTCTTTCCAGACTTCTCAGTGAGTTGTCTGAATATAGACTACCTTATCCAGTTGATCTGAATCAACTGGATAATGATAGCAAAGTAATGGATCGTATGTACTCAGATTTATTTAATATACACAGTTGAAACAAAGCTGCTCTTTTTTTCCTCTACCCATTTCTTTTTAAAACATTAACAATTTAGGGCTAAAACTAAATGAATTAGAGCATGAAGTTAATCTCATTGTTGATGACATTGACCTGCTGAATAAATTAAAGAAGCATGGAATGAAATCAGTGTATTTGGCATAGTAGGAGAGCTTCAAATTTGTACCTTCAAAACTCTGGAAATGCATAAATATGGGTTGGAAATAATTTCTAAGCACACAGAAAAAAATGCAGCAACATCCTAGGAACTTTGAATCTGAAGTACCTAGCAATTCATCAACAAGATTTAAAACTATTACTGAAAATAAATGTTAATTCTCCAGTAAGGCAAATGAAAGAAAATTTAAAGAAAATTGCCAAACAAAATCTTAATTGATTAGGCAATATTGCTACAATAGAGGTTGTAATGTAACATAAATGTGCATGCTAATTCCTCATACTGCCTATCCAAGTGTCAGAAATATTGCCTTTTCTTTCAAGATAAATGGATCTCTAATTAATTTCTAATTAAACTTTGCTTTAAACAAACTTATCTATATCAGCTAAATAAATAAATAAATCAAGTTTGGAAAAAGAATGGGCTGGGGGGCACACTGGCCCCAAAAAATCCACCAGAGGGATGTACCTTCCTGTGGAAACCGCTGACAAGATCGCATGCTGCTATTGCTGTTGCCGCTGCCACCACGTTGATCCTGAGGGAGGACATTCATTTTGGCCTAATAGCTTTAAATTAACAGCACCTCCTCAGAGTAAAATTATTTAGAGAAAAAGAAAAAGTGCACCTCCTGTGCTCCATGACAATTTGAAAATAAATATGGGGAAATCCATCAAATAGTACTTTTGAGTAGAAATCGCCAGTAATCAGGTCCCTCACTCTTTTGAAAATTTGATGCCCACTTCACAATCCAATTCAAAGCAAATTGTGTCTAATATATGTAAAATTTTAATGAGTATAAACTCAAACAATAGAAGATTAAATAAAAGGATGAAGGAGACATGGAAATGTGAGTGGGTTCAACTTTGGGAAAATCCCATTCCCCTTTTGGTTCCCCAAAAAGTGGAGACAGGCCTTCTCCATGAATGTTTCTTTTGTTTTCAAACACCGGAGAACCATGAAAACAACTTCGGTTGGACCAATGGATCCCTTAGTTTCCCTGCATTTAACATAACAGTCCCTTAACTCGGGCATCGCAAGAGAGTTCACCATCAGGAGTTCACACCAAACCATTCGCAATCTGTGGGTTTTCTCGTGGGCTTCCTCAGACTGGGACATATGGTACCTCAACAGAGGTGCTGAGCTCACTCTCCCTCTGAGGGCGTTTCTGGATGTGACATTAACACCAGTTTGCCCCCTTTCTTTCATTGATCTCCCTTCTTGGGATAGACATATACCATCTGTTCCACTGGTTCTGCTTCCCTCAGCTGCACTGCCAGTCCTTCCTTCCTTTGCCTTTTCAGCTCTTCTCCCTCTTTTCCTTTCTTACTCCCCTCAGGTCTCATGTTGCGATATTGCTGTCTCCTTTCTATTTCCTCTAGGGGCAGTTTCATTTTAACATGGAAGGGGTCTTCCATTTCTAACTATCTCCATCCTAGAGGAATGTCTTCTTCCTTAACCTCCTTTCCTTTCTTTTTCTCCTCCTTCTTTTCTACCTCAGTCTCCCAGTCTAGCTCTCTTTTCCCTTCTTCCTTCTCCTCAGCCCCTGTCACCAGATATCCCTCCACTATTGGCTCCTCCCCTTTCTTGCCCTCCTCCTGCTCTTCTGTCCTGTTCTTTTTCTCCTCTAATCTCAGTTGGGCCACTGCTAGTATCAGCGTATACTCTGTCCCATACCCCTCTGTTGTGGGCGCTGGAGGGGATGGCTCACACTCCTCTGTTCTGTTGGGAAGTGGTTCCTCCTCATAGAAAGAAACAATTATTCCCAACAAATAAAATGCTCTTTGGAGCTAGCCTCCTTTCCCCCTACCCTTTAAGATTCTTACTTTCTGTAAAAACTAGCGTTGACACAGGTGGAATCTCAACAGTACCTGGCAGCCGTAGTTCTAAGCTGTAGTAGCTGTACAACAAATCCAATTTGTTTGATGGGATGCAACATGTAGTGAGAGAATAGGAAATGGCAGACATTTTGGGAAACCATTCTGAAGAGTGCAGTGAGGCAAGTTGTGCATTGTGATCCCAAAAGAACTTTGTGTCTGCATTTGATGATATAAAAAAAAAACCTGTCCTATAAAGAATACCGTAGTTAGCTTGCGTGTTTGTCTCTGAGAGAAAGAAAAATGAAAAATGAGTTAATTCCTGCAAAACTCTGAAACTGCAGTAGCACACAGGTTAATGAGTTGCATTCATAGCAAACATTGTGTTGTTTGTGTCAAACATGGTATTGTTTCATTTCCTAAACTAAAAAAGACAGAGGATCACAAACTATGCATGGAACACTGTGTTTATTACAGTATGACTTTTGTAATTGTTTGTATTTTTTGTATTATCTCACTGTTTTTACTATCTTGGAAGCTGCCTAGAGTGGTCTTTTAGAGCAGATGGGTGGGGTATAAAAAAAATTTAAAAAATAATATTGTTTAGATGAAGTTTCAAACCCATAAGACCGCCACGTGAACTTTAAGGTGATGCCTGTGAGAGAGCCACTGAGAAAACCCCATTGCCTTCAGGAATGTTTTCGCATTTCCCTCATTTAATGTAAAGATCCTTATACTCGCTTAATTCTCTCCCTAGGTCATGAATAGAATTCTCATATTTAGACTGCCATGTTTCCTCCTTGCTTGAAGAGATGGGCTTCAGTACAGAAACAAAAAAGGGAAGCTGTTTCTGTGAAAGTTTGCCTCTTAGTTGTTATGCACTTTTTTCTTGGTTTACTTTTTTAGATTCCTCCACCTAGCATTAACTTCACGTTGCCGTCTCCGGTGCTAGGAATGCCATCTGTCCCCATGTTTGACCCTCCGTGGGTGCCACAGTGCAGTGGAAGTGTGCAGGACCCAATTAATGAAGATCAATCTGTAAGTTTAAAAAATATCCTTGAAAAGCTGCTTGCGAGTGGTAAGAAGGAATAAAAGGGGGATAAAAAACATACTAAGGCAGTGTCTTAGCCTCTTAGGAAAGATCTTAGAAACGTGTTTGTAGAAGTGTGTCCATGGGGCATAATAAAGAGTATGACAGGGTGTGGTGGTTCCTTGTCATTGCTAGTAGTGCTGTCATGGGACAAAACATTATTAGTTCCAGAAGCATGAATAAATTAAATGGGACTCTTAACTATATGTATAATCTGCCCAATCTGAAATAACCCCAGGCATCTTATAATAGCAGTATAACCAGAAATGCATATTATAGCAACAAATCAAAAATCAAACAAAATCCGGAAACTAAGCTAAACAATATAAAGTAAAAACTAAGCTAAACAATATAAAGTAAAAAAGGAGACATTGTAAAGCTATTAGGGTGGGCCAAAAGAAAAATGTGTTACAGTCAGAAATTTTGTGGCTTGATCTTTAAATTCATATGACACGTGGGAGGGCAAAATTGTTGCAGCACAGAGTGCTCTGGTGAAACACAACTGTATTCTATATTTCTCATTTTCTTCCCTCCCCCTTGCCAGTATACCCAGTCAGCTTTCTGTATCTAGTATTTTCCAGTCACTATTCTATCTCTCTCTTCTTAGATTTTTTTTTTAATTAGGATAGGATGGGAGAAACACACAGATAGGTGCTGTCTGGGAGGAAAAGTTAGAAATGAGACCACTGCTTCTGCCCTTATGTTCATTTCTGTTCTCTTCCTGGCTGGTTGGATAGCTCAGTGTTTGGGTATCTGGTTGTAGAGCCAGAGGTTGGGAGTTCAATTCCCCATTGCATCTCCAGGGAGAAGGGCCAGCCTGTGTGGCCTTGGGCAAACTGCACAGTCCCAGAGACCTCTAGAACAGTGGTTCTTAACCTTTGTTACTCGGATGCTTTTGAACTGCAACTCCCAGAAACCCCAGCCAGAACAGTTGGTGGTGAAGGCTTCTGGGAGTTGCAGTCCAAAACTCCTGAGTAACCCAAGGTTAAGAACCAGTGCTCTAGAAGAAAGGAATGGTAAACCACTTCTGTGTATTCTCTACCTAGGCAACCGTGAAAAAGTCACCATGTCAGAATTGACTAGATGGCACATTGTTGTTCTTGTCATAGTCGCTGTCATCATCACCATTCCAAGACCCTCATGCCAGGGTGATCTGTTTTAGGTGGGAAACCTAGGGATCATCTGTTGCAGAATTCACACATGATTGCATGTGCCTGTCAGCACCTCATTATTCTCAAGAAGATGCCTATTATCGTCCATTCAAATGCATGATCCCATTCACAGTTAGTAGGAAACTGAGTCAGGTCAACTGACCTGGGACTTTGAAGCAATAAGGGCTGCAGCTCAAAGTCCCTGCCTCAGTTGTGCAGTCATGCCGTTCTGTTGCCTTTCTAGTTTGGGCAGGCATCCTTTGGTCATTTAAGTCAGTGTGTCTGGTCTCACCAAAGCTATAAAGGAAACATTGGTATCTGTATAGACAGAGTCAGCACCTTGTGTTGAACCTGGAAGCTACCTGGCTGCCAGTTCCATTGGCAAGTACTGTCCAAACCATCCTGCAGTTCAGATTGCAGTATTTGATCAGCGCCACTCTGAGCCCAATGCGGACACCACAGCTATGTTTTATAGAGCAGTTCTTTGCATGTTTACTTGGAAATTGGACCCAGTGTGCTCAGTGGATTTATTCCCAGATAATTTCATAGGTCACATGTCTGGAGTGGGGAGCCTCCATTATTAAATCCCTTCGGGTATTTTCATAGCTCCCCTATGAATGTGTGATCAAATGCTATTTCTATAGGCTATAAATTTTTGTCAGTAAGCGCAATTTCTGTTTGTTTTTTGTTGCTATATGTTGTCAACATATGGTAAGTCCATAGCAATTTCAAAGCATGTGAGATATTCAAGGAATGGTTTACCATTGCCATCCCCAGTGAATTTCGGTGGCCAGGCATGAATTTGAACCAAAGTCTGGCACTCTGTCCATAACACCACACTGGCTCCCAGATCTCTGTTTATCTAATTGCAATATTTTGTACATAATTTAAAGAAAGCCCATGTAAAGCCCCAAATAAGTTTTTTAAAACATTTTTTCTTAATGGTTTGCTTACAGAAATCATTTTCAGCTCGGGCAGTGTCACGCTCTCATCAGCGTGCAGAGCACATTCTGAAGAACCTGCAGCAGGAAGAAGAGAAGAAACGTTTGGGCCGAGAAGCTAGTCTGATCACTGCTATTCCCATCACACAGGAGGCTTGTTATGAGCCCACCTGCTCTCCAAACTCAGAACAGGAAGAGGAAGGTGCGCTCTAAACACTAGAACAAACTCTGACAGTTTGACCAATCAGTTTATCAAGGGATGCCATATTATCAATGTAGAGTATTCATATTAAATTTAAAGTATAGATGACTATACATGCCTGCAAGAAAGCAACTGTTGATTCACTCAGAGACATTTTGTCATGCTGGCCGTAATGCACTACTGTTGTTGCCTGTCCATGTGTGAAAGTTTGTTGGAAAGACTAGTTTCATTACTTGTGTTCATTTATTTAAATGCTTCTATAATTTAAGCAGACTGTGCAGATATTCTTGGTTAGTTTTTGCCTGATATAATTTAGACAGCACAATGTCATGCTGTTAAAAAAATGAAGTTGAGGGCAATGCCAATAAATTAGCACAACGTATGAAAAAAGTCATATACCATTTGGCATCTAGAAAAAAAGTAGTGGGCCATCCATGTCAGAGGTTGTGCAGCAGATAGTTTTGGAAGTAGTACCACACCAGAAGAGAAAACAGGGAAAAAACTATTTGGGATATGCATGGCAACAACAACAACAACAACAACAACACATATATATGTATATGTATATGTGTGTGTGTATGTGTGTGTACATATATGTGTGTGTGTGTGTGTGTGTGTGTGTGTGTGTGTGTATGTATGTATGTATGTATGTATGTATGTATGT